TGTTGTGGGCCGCAAGAAGGAACAAATCGTTAAGTCTTCCTCAGCAGTCGAACGAGCGGCCTGAGCTACGGCGCTACTGTGTTCCTCTTATTTTTTCTCCTTTTCGCTTTCATCCTTACCTCGCCAGCCTATAAATCTGGCCCATTCGAAGCTCTCGCCCCTCTCTTGCTGCCACTTGGCTTTCCTTTTGCCAAGGGAAGGAAGTATTTCAGCGTGTGGCGTGTGGACGTGTTTCCTCGCGTTGAAGGAAGTTTTCCCACGACATGGGTCATTCATTTGGCGCCGCACGATGACGTGTGCGCAGAGATGGTGGTGAGCCGGCAGGACGGGTGGGAACGTATTTAGCCTTGCAGCAATGAAAATCAATGAATGCGTATTATTTCGTGCGTCCTGCCAAACTGACATAGAGGTTTTCAAGTGAAGAATCTTTCCGTGTTCTAACTCAACAGCGTAAAACGTCACTTAATACTTAGCTTTAAAGATTACCCGTGCTTATGATTACATGGTCGTAATGGCAGTGTCTATATCTATGACCTGCTGGGGAAACATTGTTTTCAGTTCACGCCATCACACGAGCGCTATCACGTGTACAATGCACTTCACGTGTGTGGAAAAGATTTCCATCATTACGATGTCTCGCAAAGTTCAGCCGAATTCGGGAAAGCGACTGCCCACTTCTTGACAAGCCAACACAAAACCCTTGGTCACAAACCCCAAACCGTTCGGTCAATTTATTGTTCACATTCCAACAGGTGCATCACACACCTACCTTTTGACTTGTAGAACCTGGCTAACGCACCAAAGTGCTCCTATTTTTTTTGGTAAAGAAAGAAGACCCAAGTCAGTGCTTTTTATGAGTCATTCTAAGATTACTAAAGGCTCGAATTGTGGATATTCCACTGGGGCTGGTAGAATGTGATTATTTTATGTGGTATTGCGGCCACCGCTATACAACTCTTCGAGACAGCACGGGATTCATGTCTGTATTAGGGACTCTGCTTCACCCTACTAATGTATTACAGCTGTTGCAAAGTGCGATAGGAGAAAGATGCAGCGGAATCTCAAAGTTGGTGGGCATGATGAACACACACACACACACACACACACACCCACACACACACACACACACCCACACACACACACACACACACACACACACACACACACACACCACACACACACACACACACACACACACACACACACACACACGACACACACACACACACACACACACCACACACACACACACACACACACACACACACACACACACACACACACACACACACACACACACACACACACACACACACACACACACACACACACACACACACACACACACACACACACACACACACACACACACACCACACACACACACACACACACACACACACACACACACACACACACACACACACCACACACACACACACACACACACACACACACACCACACACACACACACACACACACACACACACACACACACACACACACACCCCACACACCGCACACGCACACGCACACGCACACGCACGCGCACACGCGCACACGCGCACACGCGCACACGCACACGCGCACACGCACACACGCACACACACAGATCCCAACGACGGGAAGGGTGACTTTTGGTCTACTCTTCACTCTTCATTTACGACAAGATAACACTAGACCCTAAAAAATCAATAAATAATGCGACATACGCTTTCCTCTCCTTTATTGTTTTTTTGTTTTATTTCTTCTGTGTAACGAAGAAACGGGCTCTTCAAACAATGCCTCTTCTTTCACAGACATTCACTATCGGAACATTTAGATTGCCCTCCCCCCCCCCTTTTTTTTGTCAATGCAAACAGCTGCATAGTTTTTATACAATAGACCTCTCCCTGTTTGCGAACAGTGTGACATCACTGCGAGCACCCCGATCATCACCCTCTCCCTTGGTGCAGGTACTAGCAAGAAGTTGCGCCGGCAGGATCTTTCTGCATAGCAGCGCTGCGTGCATCGACATTCATTCGACAGAAATTTCTGTGAATTGCTACTTTCTGAAGCCATAGTTTTTCTAGGGAAGGATCACTGCCTATAATGCACGATTCTGTTCAGTTAGCATGTGACGATTTGCGTGTCTTAAATGGCAGCCACAAAAAATAATAATAAATTTGATTCTCTTCAAAAGTGAACGTCCTGCATGTTCACGCTTAGTGAATCTTTGAGGAATATTTACATGGATGAATGGCATTGTGCTCAATTTCCGTCGTGACATGCGCACTGCAGTTTAAAACTAGGTACAAAAATGGCGGCAGCATGGTTTTGAGCTGCTGTGCACGAGGTCACGGGTAAGATTCTCACTCACTACTAAATGTTCTCATCTGAGCTTAATGAAAAAAAAAGACAGAAAAACAAGAGCACATTAACAAGGTGCTTGATTGGGCTGGTTGATGCTGCATGGTAGACGAAGAAAGTGCTTAACAGCGCAAACGACAGGAGGTGATAGAAGAGACGAGAACAGAGCGCTGATTGTTTTTTGCACCTGCAGAAACAGCAACGTCTCCAAGAATGTCGACTTCTTATCCTGGTAGGGTGCGTTGGCCTCTCTTTTTTGGCAGCCAAGGTAGAAGCTGGCCCCATAAAAACTCAGCTGATTGACGGGCCCCAAGTGTCGAAATTTCTGGATCCCTCCGCTACGGCGTTTTTCTGTTCTCGTCTCTTCTATCCCCTGCTGTCGTTTGCACTGTTAAGCACTTTCTTCGTCCACAATAAGCACAGTTTGCTGTGCGTTGAGTTGAAGTTAATGAATATCCCTGAAAATTAAAGCGAAATTCTGCCCTACGGCATTCCTCATAACCACAGGTCGGTGAACTCACTCATTGGTCGACTCACGTCGACTCACTCAGACTCAGATCGAGCCGTGAGTCTGAGTCCGAGTGAGTCCGGTTCAAGTGAGTCTGGTTCAAGGAAATTTTCGTCAGTGTGAGCGCAAGTGAGTGCGGCTCAAGAAAATTTTTGTGATCGTGAGCTCAAGTGAGTTCGGCTCAGGAAAACTTTCGTGAGTATCAGTCCGAGTTAGTTCAGAGCGCAAGATACATTTATTGAGTGAGTGTGAGTTAATTCCACTTTCTTTTTGCCGACCCAAGGTCCTTTCTAGTCATCGTCAGCATTACTATCACCCTTGCCTAGATTCACGTTTATACTCACGTCTACTCACAGGTATTCCAAAGCAGCGTTGTTTATACGCTTTTTCAGTATTTATCAATTGGAGGCGTGAATTACGTAGGGGCGGGTGACTCCCCCCCCCCCCAACTCTCCCAGGGAATTTCTTGATTATAATATCTTATGCTTTAATCTCTTCCAAGAGAAATCACGTTACTGCATTGGAAGCACCCAGAACTCATTTAGGAAGGCATGCACCGTATGCATGTGCCATCTTACTTCTTATGCTGCAACGAGCTATTTTCATAGCGGGAACACAGTATAAGGCAAGCAACTTCTCTCCACGAGACCAAAAAAACTTTCGACAGTTCCGGTTCGCTGAGAATTAAGGGACATCTATGCTGAGGCTCTTGGATAGAAACCTAGCAGTCATGTGCGTGTGTTATAAAACACAGACTGCGTTCAATCGGAGTATTGAACTCGGCCAGCCATCGAAAGCGAGACCACCCACTACGACAGTTCACTTCACACGCTGCGTAGTATTTCTGGCGTCTGTCTATACAGTAAGGCGAGACACCGCGTCTGCTCCACCAACTTTCAGCAACTCCCACCAACCGTTCGCAAGTCCCCACTCGACAAACAAGCATAGGCCTCTTGCCTTGAACGACGCTTTCAGCAGTTACCCCAGACTTACAATGTAAATTACATGCATTACCTAGAGAAAATGACTAGGATAGAGCTCCCACACAAGAACTTCGTTTATTCCAGGTCGGGGTGCAGGTAGAATTGTTTTTCCGAGGATTGAGGGGGGGGGGGGCACTTTCTTGATTTCAAGTATGTGTCTTGATAAAAAAAAATCGGGAAGCACGTGATCGGTGTGCCCCCTTGTTGCTACGCTGCTAATTACAGGAGGTGGAAATTTTCACAATACTTAAAACACACGTAAAGCTGAAGACGATTGAAATAAGCATGCACCGACCACGGAATATAGGGCGCATGAAGGCAAACCATTTAAGCTTTCACTCTAGGCAACCGTGTGAAACGTCTTGCTTTATGTTGCTCTTATTCGGGGTCAGTGCTTATTTTAATTGTCTTCATGTCCTTTTCCAACCATGTTGGTTTCCCTCCAACTCTCAACCTCACGTACATAAAGGAACAGAATCGCATCGCAACAGTTATTGGCATATACAAAAACGTTGTACATACCAATTCGAAATCATTATTGTTACAAAATTGGCTGGCGGAGCCACTGGAATACTGAGAAAGCTTACGCAACTTGTTCCAACAGCCCCGCCGCGGTGGTCTGATGGTTATGGCACCCTACTTCTCACCCGAAGGTCGCGGGATCGAATCCCGGCTGCAGCGCCGGAATTTTCAATTGAGGAGAAAATGTTTGAGATCATACCTGGATTCAGGTAAACGTTAAAGAGCCTCAAGTGTCGAAATTTCTGGATCCCTCCGCTAGGGCGTTTATCCTAATACATTGCGATTTTGGGACGTTAAACCTCACGTATCAATCAAATCAATCAATATCAATAAGATTGTATAAATTTGTTACAAGAAACGATTTCTGATATATCAAATGTAGCCAAGAGGAGATAACACCTATCGGAGTGAAAGCGACATATTAGACGCTACCAGTTTTCTACATGGTCGTTTTGCTAGTGAAAAGCATCAGGTTTATATAGCATTCAGCGTTTCTTTCGTTACCCAAAGTCAAATAGTTACCCAAAGTCAAGTGTGGCTTCCCTTGAGAGGCATTCGCTCACAGGTGCGGCCGCCTCACAAGCACTTTTCGCAACAGATATTTCTGTGGTACATACACTACGCACGACTCACGTACCTCTACCCGAGGAATGCACCGCAACAGTCCGAGAACACTTGCAGGACACTGCCGAGTCCGACTAGGCGGCCTTGCTGCCACCGTCACACAGTCAACTCCCACGCGGATCTAGCATTGTAGAGCGATGCTCGCCATTTTATGTCTGGTCACGGTTATGTTGCGTGGTCAGCAGAGCGTTTTGCCACGCGACCAAAATGAATGGGCTGTCTCGAATCCGGGATGCTGCCTTTACGGCAAATATTAATTCTCTGCATATTCGGCTTATGTTCTTTCGTTGCAGGTTTACACGCTCGACGATGCACGCGCTCAGCCAGGGAAGGTAGGAAGTGGGAAGGATGTCGACGCATAACAGACAAATCAGTGAAAATTCATTTCTTTTTGCTCTCTCTCTCTCTCTCTCTCTCTCTCTCTCTCTCTCTCTCTCTCTCTCTCTCTCTGTTCCTCCTGCCGCCACCTCAGCCCGAGCATGTGCTCGACGAGCGTTTGCATCTTGCCACTGCGCACAACCAATGCCGCGCCTCGCAAGTGAAGAAGAGCTGGCGACGCGTAGAACAAAGAGTATCTCCCGATCAGCTCACCGGCCCGTTAAGGTGGCCTCGGAACGCTTTAAAACCGAGCCGCTCGCGTGTTGCACCAACGGGTTGCCTAAAGCTGCCCGCCACGCGTTCGCCAGTATGCTTGCGCCACAAGGAAAGGGTTACATCGTTCGTTATGAAGTCCACGCATGTGGCCGAGTCCGGAATTCGATCTGCTTGAGCTGCACCTGCGCTATAGATAGTCGCGGGATAAAGTATATACTCGAGGTCCGCTCCAGTGACCACACGGCCAGCGTGGCGCATGGAGGAAGCGGACGTTCGCGGGCTCTTGTAATCGCCGCCGCGGCGATCCTTTCTACGTTTGCGCAGCTAATTCGTCGCTTTGCAGCAGCTGCAAACGCCGCCACCACTTCCTGAGCGCGCGGCACGCATTCCTGCGTGCACGATGGCGGTGCAGAAAGGGTACATGTTTACCGCAAACCCAAACGTGACCGTCGGGGCGACCGCCTGCACCCTTCCTTCCGGAGTGCGCCCCCATCAGCGGAGATTTTAGTTTATATCGCCCTTCGTTCGACCGGAAGAGATGCCCTATGAGGCTCATCGTCCTCTATATACGTGTGCCCTCTGACCATCCCCCTTATGGTGGACTCTGGGCGCACCCTTACTCATTCTCTCCATGAGGCGAGCGGCTCTGTCATCATCCATCACGTAGGCCCGCCGTTACCTCACGTCAGGCTGCAGAAGGACTACACGAAGGCAGTCGTGAATAGAGTTTTCGGACGCTAGCGACTTCATTTTGCGCCGTCCGAAACAAACGTGGGCACATGACGAAACAAAAACAAGACAAGCTAGAACTGCAAACTTATTGGCTGCTTCTACTGAGAAACTGGTCGCATAATCATTCCTCATGCGCATAAAACAACCGCACAAAGGGTTGCATGTTATAAGCATTGTGCACTTTATTATTCAAGAAATTGAAACAATGGTACGTCTGATGCGCACAATGTACGTTTGAGATTCGCACAAGTAGTAACCAAGACTAAAGGTTACTTCTAATGCAATCATAATAACAAGATATCCTTGCACATTTTCGCACACTGCGTGGAGAAAATGTCAACCCAAACACTAGAAAAAGAATAAAAAATAAGCAATATAAAGACAGGTTACAAACAATGAACTGAATACTTCTTTAGCTCACAAAATTTCTGCAACGGGCTTTTCTCATTTCGCCTCATTGCTAAGCCTTTGGTGGTAATTACACCATTGTTGATATTGTTGTTCTAAGTGTCAAGGGTTTCTTGGCGAATCAATGATATCTTAACCGCTTCTGTGTGTCTTGGCCGTCTGTACGCCATTTCATACATCAGGTTAAAGCTGTGGAGCCTACAAAAAATTCAGACAGCAAAATATATGTATCCGCGTTCCATACCTTTAAATTTCGTCGTTCTAAACAAGATCTCCTGCTCTGGCTGCGTGCTACCGGAACGGATCGCGAAGGCCATGATACGGAATCAGAAACGCTAAGCGATCGGAAACAACCTATTACCAGTATGAATAATTATGTTTATTTCAACACACAAATCATATGCACTTATTACTCAGTCTAACATTAAAAAAAAAGATAGGGTGGTAAAACCATTTAAATATTTTCTTAACTGGCTTCCCTACCGTTGCACCTGATGTATGAAACGAAGTAGAACTCTCGGTGCTCTTGCAGTGACTCCTTATCTTGCTACGTACTCTAATAGGCATAAGAAGACAGTGTATACGGTGAACATGGTTCACAGGTCTTGGCATGAATAAGATGACTTGCCTGCAACGTGTGTAATGAAATTTTCTCCATCAGTAACGTGTGCACATACCCGCATTACGCGGACCGTGATGGTAGGGGGTATGATTGATTGATTAATATGTGGGGTTTAACGTCCCAAAACCAGCATATGATTATGAGAGACGCCATAGTGGAGGGCTCCGGAAATTTCGACCACCTGGGGTTCTTTAACGTGCACCCAAATCTGAGCACATGGGATGGTAGGGGGTATGCGTCTGAGGTGACTCACCGTATATGGTATCAACCCAGGAAGTATAAGAATAGACTTTGAAAATCTTAAGGTAAAAGCGTTAAAGAGCTCATGTCGCAGAAAATCCAGTGCCGGCATTGACGGCGTTATCAATGAGCGAGAAGTCTCGATGGAAGGAAATAATAAGAATCACAGCTCCAGCCGGAATCAAACCCAGACATTCTGCATGGCACCACGCCAGTGCTGCACAGTTGTTAGAAAAGAAAAACACCCCACACAAGTAGCACCTCGGGGCAATGCCTGCTGTTTTTGCAGTGTTGACTATCCGCTTTTATAACAATGTAATAAACATTGACATGCATGCTAAAGTCAAACGTTGCTAGAACACGCCGACCATCACTACTTATATGTGTACGTGCATCATCAGACCATATAGCATGCACTTTGTTACGATAAAACTTGCATCTCTCCTCTCCAAGCGAGTGTCGATGGTATACGTCGAACCATGAGCTACCCTCTGGTGTAGTTGACGCACCTGGCAAGCCCATGATATGTGTGACACTTTATGATGACGCAAATCCACGTCGTAACGCTTGAAGCAAAGCGAAAAATTAACGCATCTCCACGAAGTGAATGATTACGAGTGGGCGAAGCTAGATGCTATGGTCCATAAAGTCTACGTTGAAGTCACCGACTAGTATGAAGGGTTTGAGTTCATAGGTGTTTTATATTTTTCTGTCACAACTGGAAGTGATTCTCTTGTGGAACACATCTTGCGGTCTGTGCTGTTTTTTTTTGCGTTCCACAGCGCAACAGGGGGGTCTCCAGCCCCCTACATCACGGTCATGGATGTACAATCCCCGGAGATCCCGCCCAGTACCAGTTCATCCACGGGCATTGCTTCAAGAAAGCGTGGTAATCCATCTAGTGAGAGCGAGGACACCGAGCTGTACTCTGCATCAGACTACGAGTCCTCGGAAGACGACTTCGAACCTGTGCTCTACCGCAAGGCCAAACGAAGAATCATGAACGCATCATCGGCATCAAGTACAGCCACTGTGAGGACAGCGCCTCAGCGATGGCCTCACTCCATTCTGTTTGTGCCGCAGACTACTACTGCCAATCTACGCTTCCTCAACAGGCAAGCACTGTCCTTGTACCTTGAAAACATTGTGCCTAACCAGATTAAGGACATCAGGATAAACACGAGGAAGAATATTTTGGCAATCGACGTGAGGAACCCGAGTGCACTGAACACACATGTGTCAGAGCTGGGAAACATCAAAGTCCGATCCATCATACCAGCGAATGGTGACACCGTAACAGGAGTTATCTATGACATAGACACTGAAATCGCCAATGAAGATCTTCCATGTGTCAGAGCTGGGAAACATCAAAGTCCGATCCATCATACCAGCGAATGGTGACACCGTAACAGGAGTTATCTATGACATAGACACTGAAATCGCCAATGAAGATCTTCCTGTACTGATAAAACCAGTGAGTGAAAACAACGTCATTGTGCATGCACGTCGCCTAGGCAACTCTCGTTGTGTGCGACTAACATTCAAGGGTGACTGTCTTCCCTCTTACGTGAAGGTTGGCCATTTCCGTCACCAGGTTCGCCCATTTATTCCGAAGCCTATGCAGTGTTTCAAGTGCCAGAAGATTGGCCACGTGAAGGGCGTTTGCAGAAATTCCGAAGTGTGCCCCCGATGCGCGGAACACCACTCAGAAGACAACTGTAATGCAACTACGTTGAAATGCTCTAACTGCCAAGGAGCTCACAGTGCTTCCTCCAAGGACTGCCCTCAGATTAAGAAAGAGATTTATATTTTGAGGTAAATGGTGCGACACAACTCGACTCACAGAGAGGCTGCGCAAAAAGTAAGGCGAAGGCGCCGTCATCGTCGAAGGTCCTCACGAAGGACAGTGCAAAATCTGACGAGAAAGTCAGAAACTCAAGTGAAATCGACAAGCGCGGCTCCTAGCACGGCAAACATCTGCGCAGGAAGAGAAGATGCTGGAAGGTCTCTCTCTCCAAAGGAATGGCCATCCCTTCAGCCTAGACGATCTGTTGAGCCTCAACAGAAGCCGCCTACACGACCTGTTGAGCCTCAACAGAAGCCGCCTCAAGAACAAGTACAAAATGCTGCAACAGCCGGGAAGCCAGATCATCGCGTGATGGTGATGCTAAGATCATTAGTTTGACACCATTCGCATGTTGTTAAGCAAAATGAATACACCGTCAGCCAAAAGTGCCCTTCAAGTACTGGACGTGCTTAGTCCAGTGCTAGCAGCCCTAGAGTAGACCATGGCTAGCCCACCACTGTCTTTCAGGGATGAGGTTCGTAAAGCAGCAATACTGCAGTGGAATGCCAGGGGACTGAGATCGTGCATTGGTGACTTTCGTCGATTTGTGTACGTCAATATGTTTCCCGTAATCGTCATTTGTGAGCCAAACGTATCGAGTGCAATACGACTCTCGGGATACGAACCTTTTATGTCGTCTACTGTTACTGAAAGCAGCAAGGTTCTGGTGTACATTCACCGAGACCTCACTTACATCCTTCAACCTGTACCACCTCATGACGGAAACCAATACGTATGCTTAAGAGTGAAAAAGAGGAGGCTCAACATCACTGTGGTTGGCGCATACCTATCACCATCAAGCCGTTTCGATCAAAAAAGACTACGAGACATCATAGCGTTAACTCCTGACCCGTGTGTTATCATTGG